TAATCTGACACACACAGGCTAGACATGTGTTTTCCTGTCCAAACGTTTCTACTATGTAACTCAAATCTAAAGAACAGCAGGAGCATGCATCCTCTGGGATAGGTCTTCGTTCCTCATCGTGTTGTGGAATTTGATAATGTTCTGAGAATGACAGGGTAGCGGAAGGCTTGTCTATAGACTATGTAGGGCACTATGACCCCCACATTATGGTGTCAAAGGATTTCTTTATGAAATAAATATTTTGACAGTCCCACTTTGCTTCTTGCTATGAACCGGTGCATCAAAAGCTAGACACATTTAAGGGCAGCAGACAAACTTCACGTTTAATATTGATGAGAGAAGATACTTGATTGTTTATATTAATCTCTCGGACCTGTGCTCTTCTTAGTCCTTCATTATTTCAATCTTTTTACTAAGGTAAGTTGTCTTTTAGACAGCGCACAGCCGTGTTTCTTGGCTTTAAGAGCTTTCCAGAAACTGGTTCTTGACAAGTATCTACTTGGCTTAGGTCACTAAGGGACGTGTACACGCTGCCAGTATTTTATGCACAATAATTTTTTTAAACAATCCCATGTTTATGAACAATGATGTACTAAGAACTTACCAAAACACCTACCAAATCCATTAACCTGGCCCTTCCCTAGGTACACATACCAACATTTTACAAAATTGGTTTATAGGATGGGTGCTGGTGATCCCTCATAATCCAGTGAGTAAGTTAGAGTTACAGGTGCTAAATATTGGGGTCACCTCCTGCTATATAATGAGGAACATGTGTGAAGCACAAGGCAGGCCAAAAAAAAGAAGCCGCAAACCTGTAAACCCCATCCATTCCATTTGCATTCTCTACTTGGAGCGTCCATTTAGCAAAAATGATTTTTGCAGTGAACAATGAGATTTCCTCCCTGTGTGGTCAGATAACTGACAAATGTGATAAGATATTACCCTTTACAGGCTGAATGTTTTTATAATGATTCACAGAAACGCCCAAAAAATAGAAACATTTTTTCTTTATTTAGTTTGTCATATAAAAGCTTGTAATACTTACTGTTGAACATACAGGTTTAACGTATTACAATCACAGTAATAAAAGCCTTAAAAAAAAAAAAAAAGAATTGTATGCTTTTGTACAGCTGGTGCTAGTTCAGCACATCTATCCCATCCATTAAGGTGTGCCTCATACAGGCAAGTGCCTGAATATACAAACTTCATGCCAAACAGGTAGTGGATTCTCTCCTTTTATAATGTAAAACAAGGAACAAAAGAGATTTCTATTGTGGAACCATTCTTGCAGTCCATTATGGAAAACACTTGGACATAAGGTCCTTTAATACAAGCTCAGTGTAAAATGTACCTTTTTATTTACCAGGGCACAACACTTTTGATGGATTCAACAGCCTCCAGGGGTCAGTTAGGACAGCTCTTCCAAACAGGACCAATTGAGCTTTCCAGTACAGTCCCATAATGTAAAGTGGCCATACACGGTTAGAATTTCAGCCAATTCCTGTGAGTCATCCAAAATTCTAACCATGGGGTGGCCCTGCTGGCACCACCCAATACGACAAACTTCAACTGAAAATGTAAGGAGCCGAGTGGAAATTTGTCACCCGAACAGTGACTGCAGCCATTGTTCGGTTATTCTTACGGCCACAGGTGTCGGCTGCCAAAAAATCAATAGGCAGCAGAGGAGATTTCTCCATCCATGCCATTTGTGGATAAGGAAAAAAGATAGTTTTACACATTAATGGTCAAATCACAGCCGGGGCCATACGTTATGCCTTAGTAGGAACCACAATCAATTGTCTGATTACGCAGCTGCCTTCAGGAAAGTAAAGTCATCTCATAATACTATAGACAGGGCTGCATTCACAATTGTGGGCCAGTGTCTGGGGGACTTGTGTTAGATGGCACCAAGCCTCAATGTACAAGCTGATCATTTTCGTTAAGTGGTTTCCCTGTTGTGTACATGGCCATAAATTAAGCATGCAAACTATAGGGAATGTAGAGGCAATATATATATTTACACACACTGGGAGTGAGTGTAATGAATATCCAATTCTTGGTAGGAATCGAGGAGGCTGCAGTTTGTGTCCTGGCACCCGCCCACCTGTCTTGAGGCACTAGCACACATTCAGAGGAATTTGTGTACGTGAATATTGACAGTTTAAGTCAAGCCCTATAAGCACATGTATCATGAATTTTTTTTTTGTTGAAGAAATACATTATGTAATAATATTGTCTGTTGATTTATATGATTAATTGTCTGTTGATTTATATGATTATTTGTATTAAGTCTTTGCCCTGCTGCTCCTGAAGAAGCGGTCAATACCGTAAAACTATATAT